AGTGCAATAATCAATCCAGGATATTCTCAACATGCGGCGGTATATCCACATTTCAAAAGCGTCCACTTTATTTTTATCCACTTTCTCTTAGGTCCACGTTTCGGATGCATATGTGGCTATGGGAAAAATGAGCGTCCTTACCAGCCTTAGTTTTGTGTATTGTTATGATAGAATTTTTCAAAATTGCTACCAGTTTCATCATAGATGTTCTAGCAATAGTCAACCTTCTACGTATCTCTCTGTCATACCATCCGTCATTTGTTATTAGTTATTAGTGTTATTAGACCCCAGGTATATAAAACTATTTACTACTTCAAAGCCCCCAATTTCTTTAATGTGTTGAAGATTATTCCGAGCTCTGTCTACTATCATTATGTACAGACTTAAGCCTGCTTAAATTCCCGTCTTTAGATCCCTGTTTCGGGGGATCCTGCCGATTTCAATGTTCTCACTCCTCGGCATTTTTTGATTGACTTTTCATTTGTGACTTTACGGCAGGGGAATATTCAAAATTTGAATCCAGGTTTTAAATGTTTCAAACATTTTTGGAGTCAGTAATCCAAAGGTTACCTGGCTAATTTCCAAGAAAGAAATAAATAGCGTTCTTCAGCTGACCAGATTAAATACAAGTATAATCTTTGATTAGTCCCTGTAAAATTACTTCTTGTATAGTTTGAATTAAAATAAGACTGAAGTGTCGTTTTATAGTTATACGACATGTAGCATTTTTATATTCTTTCGTATGTATTGAAATCACCCCGTCCGTATAAAAAAACCGAAAAAGTATTTTCATTCCTTTTGCATCACTGGAGTTGATAATGAACACATTTTAAAGTTTGTTTTTATATCGCAGATGTGTATTTCTTCAGTATTCTTTGATCAGGAGCCACTTTGGGATATTTTGAGATTCAAATTAATAGGAATTTAACCGTATATGTTTTGTTTATATCGAGTTGGGCAAATGATTTTTGAAGAGAATTACATCACTCTCGGTATGGCCGGCCGCTGTTAAAGGCGTTCTCGTTTTTCTTTATGGAAGTATAGTATATAGTAGCAGTTCAATGTGTAGTTACAGTTTAAAGTGATGTTTGGGAGATATTTGATTGAAACAACACCCGGCGAGTATCGTCATTAAGAAGTCGGTAAATTTGTTGAAAAAAGTTAATTATACTCAATGTAATGTGTTGGTTTTGAAAGAGTAATAACTGTTTCCTCTATGTTTCTAAGTATCTAAGAAATTTGCGGCGTTTACAACTTTGAAAATACCCACATGTGTTCCAGTTTTTAAAGACGCCGAGTTTCAAGGTTTGCGTCCCAGTAAACAGCTTCCATCTTTATTTTATTTGTCCCTGGTTATCATCCTAGGCTATTTCGCAGCTGATACATTGTTTGTGTAGCAGAGAATCTAAATCTAGTTCTAACTCCAGAAATTTCAAAAGAAGAAAAATTAACATTTAGTGAAATACCAGGTACCATTTTATAGTTAAACTTTTTTCATGTAAAAATAAACAGTGTTTTTATTTGTAACATTATAACATTTGTAAATCATAACCACATAAATTTTAATCTGTTTTGTTAAATAATTGCTCTTAATTATGAAATGCCATTAATGTCAAAATTTTATAGTGGAATAAACTTACCTGAGGTTGGACCAATTGGACGTAGATATTGAACAGGGAACCAACCGCCAAATTTTGAAATATTAATTTCTGTCGTTAAATAGATTTACACAATATCCCTGCATCCAGCTGCAGAATATAAATCTTAAATATTACCCCTAGCGCCATCTATTGACGAAAGGTCTATGTTCTTGTACAGTTTGGCAAAATAGTAATTTTAGAACAAAGATCTACAGTTTTTAGACCACGCTGTACTGATTTCGAAATAATCTGAGAGTTTATAAGAATGTCGCGTGGAAAACAAATATTAAATCTTTTAAAAGCCTCTGAAGTATTGCCAGGATCATCCAATTCACATAAACAGCAGGTAAGTTTACAAATTATTACATTATATATATATATATATATATATATATATATATATATATATATATATATATATATATATATATATATATATATATATATATATATATATATATATATATCCTCAAATGTGTTACGTGGTTCCTTTTTCAATAATAAAGTTAATTCAATAATGTTTTTTGAAGTAGGATTTGCACGATAATATTCCTAATAATCTTATTCGATGAACACAAATTAGGTAGTCAGACATATTTAGTTTGGTGTTTTGTAATAAATCAAAATATATTTAGATACCGTTTTTTTATAGTCAGTATGAAAAAAATACTGGTTACCGTATAAATACGCCACTTACCTATTATAACTTTGTTTCAGGATAATCATAGCTTAGATAACAACAAAGGTAGTTATCCAAATGGTAACCAAAATGGTGCAAGTGAGGACAATAGTGCAGCTAAGGCTCATAATACAACTATGGAAGGCCGGAACACCGATCTATCTGAGGAGAGTGACTTTGACGACAATATTACAGATCCTGATTTTCAAAATTATGAACCCTCATATCCAGAAAATACCGACGACTCATCAGACAGCAGGGCAAATACGGGACACGATTCTAACAACGAAAATTATCCTCAACAAGTAAACCAAGAAGAGCATTGGAAAGGAATATCAAGAAAAGGAAGAAAACGGAAGTACATTGGACAAACAGAAGCAATTTGGAGAACTTTAAAAAAAAACACTAATAAATCATATATTTCTAAAAGAGGGTTACACGTAGATTCTAACAGTTTATTGACTATTAATGTAACTGAAAAGAAAAATGTTACAGTTAAAAGACGAAGAAACCATATTCAAGGTAGTCATCTAAATAATTGATGGATTCGACCGTTACTTGATGGAAATTCATTTAATGTAACAATAAAACACTGAAAACTTTGTTTTCAAACTTCCACAAAATTTATTTTAAATCTTATCACTACAGCTATTTCGGCTGATAGCCTTTCTCAAGTGATCTATTTTTGGCTTGGGTTTACAAATTTATAGTCCCTAATAAAATCTAATAAAATAGGTTGAGGAGGGGAGACATCTAAGATTGCATTCAAGAACATACACGATAAGTAGGTTTAGGGTGTGCCGCGATATGTTCGTAAAAACCCTAGGAATATACACTAAACGCGTAAATACAGCACTTAAACAATCAAGAGTATTAGACTTAAAAGATAAACGCGGTAAGCATCAACTTCATAAAAGATTCTCTGAAATAAAAAAGGAAGAGGTTATGGCACATATTAACAAAATTTCAAGGTATAAATCTCATTACCGACGAACTCAAACAGAGAGAGAATATTTACCTACTGACATGACACTTGAAAAAATGTATAACCTTTATAAATCAGAAAAGCCATAAAAATGTAAGCTTCTCATATGCGTATTTTCTACACCGAGTTTAACATTATACGTAAAACTTTAAAAAAGGATACATGTAATAAATGTGATACTTTTTCTGCAAAATTAGCGGCTTCAAATATCGTTAGTGATGTAGAAAATTTTAACAAACGACATTATGAACACTTGGAAGCAGCCGAACAAGCTAGAAGCAAATGAAAGAAGATTTTAATGAAGCAAAATCTAATCAACTTTTGGAAACTATAACATTTGATCTTGAGAAAACGTTACCAATGCCAAAACTTCCAACCAACATTATTTTCTACATACGACAGATTTTGTTGTACAACCTGCCACCACCAACAAAGTCCACTGTTTTATTTGACCAGAAGGTGTCGCCGGACGAGGATTGCAGGAGGTTGGATCTTGTGTAAAAAAGTTTATAGATCTCCATCTAGGCCCCAAGATTAAAGAAATTCGTTTTTGGTGCGATTCATGTGGCGACCAAAACCGCAACATTAAAATATGTTTGTTGCTGAAGCATGGCGTACATAATCACCCTACATTATACAAGATAACAATACATTTTTTGGAATCGGGCCTCAGTTTTCTGCCCAATGACGCTGATTTTAGCAATATAGAAAAAGCCATAAAATATTAACAAAGATTGTATGCATTTATAAAAGACCTTGTAAATGCGATCAGTTTACTGTTAGAATGTTAGAACTGTTAGAATAAGTGAACATTAGTCTTATATTAAAAATAAGGAATTTGATACATCTCAAATATGTAAACATGGATGGGATAATGAACATAGGGTTCAATGGAATGATTCAAATATAGTCCTAAAAGAAACGGATGGTAAAAAGAGAAAAATCAAAGAAGCGGCTCTAATTATGCTAAATGAGATCAATTGTGTCGCAAATTCCTCGGCAGAATGTATTATGAGGTTTTTTTTTCAAGATTTTTCCCTCATAATAATTTACTATGGAATCACTAACAGGAGAATTTTACTGTCATCATGGCATGTGTTTGTCTTTTCAAAAGACGAATTATATGCTATGATTTTTTTCTAACGGATATTCTCAAGTTAAAATTGATTTCATGTAATCGAATGAACTATCTAATAAGTAAAGTCGTCTCAGGAGCGCAACTCAACAATATTGGCAATATAATTTTAAAGTCTACTTTAAAATGTATAATGTATGTCTGAATTGTCAATATAAATAAGTCAGATAAATTAAATTGTTAGAAGAACTTTCCACTAAGTAACAAAAAAACAAAATTTGTTTAATTTACTAATGTTTGTATTTTGAGAACGATTTCCGAAGTGGAAATTGAAACGTCAATAAACGTATTTTAACCTTTAATTGTGGCTTATTTCCATTTAAACAGTATTTATTTTAGTGTTTATCTCAAAGATCTTTTGTAATTATATTAAAATGCATTAAAATGTTTCTGGATTTCTCTTTACAGGTTTCGTCTCAACTGTAGGAAATTAAATTTTGATAATGTATAGAGATTTGAAACGTTCTTCGGGGCATCTACAATAGATTAAATACTTAAATCCAAAAAACTTTATGATACTTTCTAAATAAATTCATAATAGTTTAAACTATTTTTTATTAGGTATTAAATGAAGATTTTGAATTAGTACCTTATAATGGGCTCAAAAAGCCACATGTTGAAGACATAGCAGAATCTTCATTAGATTATATAGCCAAGTATAGTCTGGAACAAATTCGACGTTTAAGGCCATCAGAAGACGAGTAAGATTATAAAATTGATTATGTATTTATATTTTTTATTGCTGGGAAGTTTTTTAGAAGTTCTGACTTAATCTGTAAATACTGATGCGTAGTTATGTAGTGACGTATAATATTATTTATGTATTAAACAAATTACATATATAAGATTTGATAACCAAAATAAACTCTTGGACAAAATTAATGCACCACTCATATTTTTCTTAATAATCTTTATTTATTGATAATTTACTGTACAACAAAATGCCTATGGACCTTGTTTGACAGTGACAGTTGTTATGTAAGCTAATAATAGTCTTTTGTTACCAATAATTTGTATTAAACTTCGTTTTAGACTAGAAGTGAGTTAAACTTTTCATAAAAAGTGCCGATGAAAGCAAAGTGCTTGTGCGAAACAAGCTTTTTATTGTGATAGTTTTCATCACATGCATGTTTGGAAGTTCATTTGTGTAAAAATCAAATAAAAAATATTAGTTTTTGGTTTGTGAACTATTAGACAGGTATTCTTTATCACAAGCATCCTGGAAACTATCAAGACTGTTTATACTTTCAGAATAATCTGTTGCAAAATGTACTTTAGTTTTAATTTTTTTTTAATTACCCCCTCTGTGGCTTAGTAGTAAGAGCGCCTACCTTTAAACCTAAAGGTCGTGAGTTCGAATCACATCTGGGTGGAGAAATTTTCGTTTATTAAAAATTAATAAATGAAAATAATTTCTATCCTTGTGCGATCGGTACTCACCGGAGGGACCGCAGACGTTCGGATACAATTAGCGTCTCTTAGCAAAGACAATGACGTCGACTTTGCTAAGTATCAAGACAATTACTCTACACGCACACACACACACACACACACACACACACACACACACACACACACACACACACACACACACACACACACACACACACACACACACTACACTAGGTACCTGACTGTACCATGCCAATGATCATATTTGTCGGGGCATTAACTCCCGATAATAAAATAATAAATAAATAAAAAATAAACCGACAAAGAAATTTGTCAATGGAGGAGGCAGTGCAAGTATCGACTCTCCTAGATGAAGGATCTTCAATGCGATACGTTGCAGGTTTGTTAGAAAGACATCATTCTAGCATCTGTCGCAAGGTGAAGCAATATAATGAATCAGGGTAGTATGATAGCATTGAAGACCAGGCCAAGGGCAAAAACGTTGCACTAATCAAGTTGATGATCGTTTTTTGAGACAAAGTGCTCTCAGAGATAGGATAGTCACCAGCAATTTGCTAAAAAATTAACTAGCAGATGTTCGAAATGTCGTGATATCGTCTCGAACAGTTAGAAGACGTTTACATGAAGCAGAATTCAGCAACAGGATACCGGCCAAAAAACCCTTGCTTACCAGAAAACACAGGGTTCAGAGATTAAATTTTGCTAGATTGTATCAAAATTGGACCATCGATCGACAAACAAAACAAGTGTTTTGTTTGTCTTCATTGGAGAACCATCTCTAAATGAAGCCAAATGTACGTTTAAAGTTTTTGTAAATCTTCGTTTTTGCGAATACTATTTTTTGCATGTTACTGTTAAATTTTTTTTAAGTTAGTTCTAAATTTATGAGTAAACTTAAGTACATATACAATAACATCTTTAATACTACATATTAAGTTAGAACTGATGAAGCTTTAGAAGTATAAAGCGAAACGTCTTCTATAAACTTCTGAAGTAGTTGACTTCTGTTTTTTATTTTGAGAACCTGACTGACCCAATAAACCTCTAGATTTCACTAGTTGAATACTTTATTAATATATATATATATATATATATATATATATATATATATATATATATATATATATATATATATACAGGGTGATTGATTAGTGTGGGTAGCTCAGTAGATCTATATATATATATATATATAGCGAGGTTCCTACAGCCTCTGCCGTTTCTCGCATTTCGACCGCCATCGTTTTCTGTCCATCCATTCGTCTTCTCTGATGGCTCTATCTCTCATTATGTGCCGTATATTTTCTTCCCAGGCAACTGAAGGCCTTCCCCTTCTTCTTCTTTGTTGTGGTATGTAATTTAAAGCTTTCTTTGGCCATCTATCTTCATTCATTCGTTTCACGTGACCATACCACACTAGTTGTCTCGTTTCAATTCTATCTACACTGGAATATACAGTATTTGTCCTCCTTCTAATATCTTCATTCCTGATGTGATCTTTTTTGGATATACCACACGCTCTCCTTAGAAAATCCATTTCTACTACTTCTATTCTTTTTCTATCCTTCTGCGTTATCTGCCAAACCTCTGCCCCATAAGTCATAATAGGCTCTACCAAGGTTCGATAGATTGTCAATTTCGTTTCTTGTCTAATATCTTTAGACCAAAGTAGAGAGTTTAGAATGTTTACCACTTTTTTTCCCTGCTGTGTTCTGTTTTCGATGTCTCTTTTTCTAGTGCCTTCTTTAGATATTATAGATCCGAGATATTTATATTCATTGCATGTTTTTGTGTTTCTAATTTCTAACTCTGGATCTTCTTCACCATCTCCTATTTTAAGATACTCTGTCTTTGCCATATTCATATTGAGGCCCCATTTTTCATATTCTTTCTTTAGTTTTCTAAACATGTAGTCCATGTCTTCCTCGTCATTCGCTACGACTACCTGATCATCTGCGAAAAATAAAGCTGTTAGATATTCACCACCGCCTATGTCTATTCCCATTCCGGATACTTGTTTTCTCCACTGCTCTAGCGATGATTGAATATATATTTTAAACAGGGTCGGAGACAGACAACATCCTTGTTTAAGCCCCTTGGTTATTGGAAATGATTCAGATATAAAGTTTCCTTCTTTAATGACACTTCTTGCATTTTTGTATATATTTGCGATAGCATCCACATACTCTCTACTGAGACCTACTTTCGTCAATGTATAAAATAGTTTTTTCAAAGGTACCGTATCATATGCCTTCTCTAAATCTACAAACAATAGGTGGGTAGATAGATTCCTTGCCTTCCGTTTTTCGATTACCTGTTGCAGAACGAATATTTTGTTCCTCTATGTCTTCATATTCTGATTCAATTCGTTTTTTTATTATTCGACCGTACAACCTCCCAACTGAGCTAGTAACAGTTATTCCTCTATAATTAGAGCAATTGCGTTTAGATCAGTAGATCTGTTATAGTAAAAATTACAAAAAAAGTTATTAACAAAAATTGTAGGCATCTTTAAACTCCACATTTTAAAATTAGTTACAGTCTTACAGGGTGTTCCATAAGATAGTGGCAGACCAAACTTATGTTTTTTTAAATAGAACACCCTGTATTTTATTTTAAATTTAAAATCTGCTTCACTTCCACATCACAACAATATAAATTTTTATTATGTTATAACGGGTATTTAAAAAGTTATAACCAATATTACCTGAAAATGGTATCAAGTTTAACTCTCTGTGTAATTAAAAAGGAGTAAAGGAACATTGATGTATTGCAACCATAGTTTTTTAATAATTGTTAAAAATTATAAAACTTATTCATTTTCATAATATTCGTTAAATCAAATACAGAGTAAGTCAAAATGAACACGAAATGAAATGAATAGAACACCCTATATTTTATATCAATATCGAAAAGTACTAATATCGTACTTCAAATTTTATGAAGTACTCGCTATACCTAAAGTTATCAGTTTTCTAGATATTTTTATTGTTCCATCAAAGTATTAATTTGGTAGATATTTTAACGTTTACCAATAATTATTGTGAGTTGGCCATGATTGATATGTCAGAAACTGACAGTTTGATATTATTGTTTAATAATTTAGTAACGAAATAACGACACGGAAAAGAAAACAATTTATTTCACATAAAATTTATAAAAAATAACCGACGGAAAATTAAAAAAAAAATAACAACACATAGAAAAATAAAAAAACAACAGTAATTTTAACTCATCTTAATTGAGTAAGGTGTTCAAAATGACCTCCCAAACCATCTATGCATACTTGAAAGCGGTCATTGAAAGAGTTGCTTACATTACTAAGCATTTGTAAAGAAATATTTTGAAATGTAATTCGGATTCTATTTTTCATATCATCCCTTGTTGTTGGGGGTATTTTATATACTTCGTTCTTAACGAAACCCCAAACAAATGAGTCCATTTTTTTGAATTCTGGTGATCTTGGGGGCCACCTTACCGGTCCATCCCTTCCGATCCATCTTTCACCAAACTGATCAGGTTATTGATCAATTAAGTTCACCAAGTCCTAATTCTTTGTGGTGCGCAGGAGCACCGTCATGTAGAAATCACATTTGTTCACGTTTATTCTTTTAATAATATCGGTAACTGATTTGCGATTAAATCTAAATCAATCTCATCATTTAAATGATCGTCAAAAAAATATGGTCCTACTACATGTAATCCATATATCTGGTATGGATTACTTGTTGAGTAGTAGTGAAAGTTATGCCTTTAACAGAACCGTTTCGATGGAATGTAGCTTTATCACCAAATAGGACATAATCAAAAAAATCTCTCTGCTCATTAAATTTTTCTAAGGCCCATTCACAAAATACTATTCGTTTCTGAAAATCATCATTAATTAATTCTTGGTGCTTTTGAATATGATAAGGGCGCATCTTGTTTTTAGATAGAATGTTTTAAACAAAGTAGTAACTAAGTTCTTGTTCATTGGAAATAGTCCTTATACTTGTGTGTGGGTTTTCTGTAACTGCCATCAACACACTCATTTCGTTTTCCTCTGTCACACTAGTTTTTGTTCGTTCGTGTTTTTCATAATTAACTGAACCAGTGCGGTTAAATCGATCTTTCAATTTTTCAAATGTATTTTGTCTAGGTGGCCGCCTATCTGGAAACCGTTCTTAATAAATTCTAGCTGATAGTACCTAATGAATTTTTATTGCATTCCCCCAATATCCAGATCATATCTACCATTTCATCAGTAGTAAAATTCATTATTGCTAATTTAAATTGAATTAATTACTGAATTACTAAATAACAATTGTTGCTAATTTACGGTGTACCCCAATACTAAATTAATAAATATTAATGTCAAACTGTCAGTTTCTGAATTAATACTTTGATTCAAATTAATACTTTGATGGAAAATAAAAATATCTAGAAAACTAATAACTTTAGGAATAGTGAGTACTTTATAAAATTTGAAGTACGATATTAGTACTTTTCGATAGTGATATAAAATACAGGATGTTCTGTTTAAAATTACCAATAAAATAAAGTACTTGCATTTTGACTTACCCTGTATTTGATTTAACTAACATTATAAAAACGAATATGTTTTATAATTTTTAACAATTATTAAAAAGCTATGGTTGCGATAGATCAATGTTACTCCTTTTTAATTATACAGGGAGTTAAACTTGATACGATTTTCAGGTAATATTGGTTATAACTTTTTAAATGCCCGGTATAATATAATAAAACTTTACATTGTTGTGATGTGGAAGTGAAGCAGATTTCAAATTTTAAATAAAATACAGGGTGTTCTGTTTAGAACAAAAACATAATTATGGTCTGGCACCATTTTATGGAACACCCTGTAGGATTGTAACTAATTTTAAAATGTAGAGTTTAAAGATGCCTACAATTTTTGTTAATAACTTTTTTTTTAATTTTTACTATAACAGATCTACTGAGCTTCCTCACACTAATCAATCACGCTGTATATGCTGTTGAATAACTTTGGTAGTATTTTTAAAGTGTGGCTAATTTAAAACCTACACCTACGAAATTTAAGATTTTTAGCATAACTATATCAGCCATTACTTTTAATCAAAACCTGTAGCGCCACATCCTCTATATTTGCTAAAGACTCTATATACGGTTTGTCAATGCCTTGGCTGGTCAAAGGCATTGAAATATATATATATATATATATATATATATATATATATATATATATATATATATATATATATATATATATACTCGTACTTCTTTTCTATATACAGTATAAAACTAACATAGTTCTGTTTTTTTTGTGTTTTGTGTTCTGGATTATTTGGTTAACACTCCACCAATGCAACAAACGTGCAGTATTATTTTCTCGCACCTTACATTTTTTTATGCTGTCCTCGATTCCTATATATTACTTTATTTTTCAGAATACTGGATATAATAGAGAGACGATCAGAAAGGTCAGAGCCCACTACCGAAATGGAAGATGAAGAAGTATTTATGACAGTCTCATTAACTGAATCTGATGAATTTTCACTTGTATTTACTTCAGCTTCCATGTTCGTTTTTCAAGAAGAGGAAGAGAAATTATCCTTGAATTGGAATTCTGTTTCACAATCTGTTAGTTCTGAAGCATTACTTAGTCAGTATTTAAATATTCAAGAACAAGACGCGCATGCCGATGATAATATGATGGATTGGGTGTCAGGATGTAAGTAAGAACATTGAAGTTTAAAAATGATGTGGGGGTCGAGTCCTTATCGTTTAGGCACACGTATTTATCATCATCAACCTGTATGCTTCCACTGCTGGACTAAGGTCTCCCTTAGCTCTTTCCATCTGTCTCTGTCTTGTGCGGCTTGCATCCTATTATTGCTAACACGCTTCAAGTCGTCAGTTCATCTAATTGGTGGGCAGCCTCTGCTCTGGCTTACGTATTCATAATCACAAGAAACGCCACTAGGAATATTGTCCATTTTTTTGATTAAAAATATCTATATTTGTAAAACAATCTTTTCAAATCTACAAGCAAATGTCATAAAAGATTTATTAAAATCCTTTATAAAAGGTATATCAATAATTATATACCTTTTATAAAGCATTTTAATAAATTATTTGTGATACATGGTATACAGCTAGCTACAGGAACTTAGTTTCGTTGTGGATTTCGAATGCAATACAAAATTATCCATACATGATCCATCAAGCTCAGCCTTTGCTTCATTTTTAATAAATATAAAGTAACATTTAAAATTAATTGAAGGACCAGGAGAAAAAACAATGAGTGTCAATCTGAGTAAAAACAGAGAAAACTCAAATTGAAAGTTTGAAACGTAACCATTTCTAAAAGAAAAGACATGATACTATATAATACTAATAGTACTATTCCACCTGACAACTTAATAGTGTAACTTAGCTTAAAGAAGGTGTATTCACGTAATATTTTAAGTACAATAAAACTTTAATACATACCATAATTGGGAAAAACGATGAGAGTCACAAAATAAAATACAAGAATGATGGGAGTCAGTATGTATTAAACTTCTTATATATAACAGAATTTTAAGTATGTAAACAGCTTAAATACGAATGTCAAAAGTCTTGGTAATTTGCTTCAAACGTGCTTTTAATGGGTGTTTTCTTGTATTCTTTTGTTGTTTTGTTTGTTTGGAAACATGTAGACGCAAAGATTCTTTCTTTCTTGTCAGAAAAAATACTTGAGATTCGCTAGGTAGAAACTGTTTCAAAACTTGCAAATCCTCGTATTTAGGTTTGGGTACAGGTATTCTTCCACTGTACAAAGGTTTTGGTCGAATGTCCAGGTATTTTTCCGTTTTAACATTTCCGTTTTAACAATTAGGGAATCCTCCTTCTTCTTCTTAGATCTTAGCCATAAAGCATTACTTTTATTTTGATAACCGAGAGGAACACTTACAAAAGAGCCATTGAAATTATCACGAAAACTTACCATTTTTCGATTGTTAACATTTACTTTTGGGGTAAGTATCACGAAAGAGTATCACGAAAACTTACCATTTTTTCTACTTTTTGGGTAGCGGGTAGACACTCTTTACGATCCCGGTAAAGACAGGTCTGCTTCAGGGATGCGCCCCTGCCCACGCGAGCTCGGCTTTTTCTCCCAATCGTCTTCCGGGAGAGAAGCGGATCCTAATCCCTAAATGCTACCCACCAACCCAGACCTACCCAAATCCTTTCCTTCCCTCCTCAACCCGCACTGGACCAGCGTGAAGAGATAACGGTCCAAACCTTCAAGTCAATATACAGGACAAAAAAGAAAAAGCCCCCAGTGCCCAGCACTTCCCAGTGTCTTGATCACGGCAGCGATCAAACAACTAAGGGAAGGGGGGGTGCTAAGAATCCCTGGGTAAGACCCGGCTGCCACAAGATGACAATTTGGCTATGCTCCTACAATATTCGAACACTGACGGACGACAATAGATTCCCAGAAATAGAAAGTGAACTAAAGGATATAAAATGGGATATCCTTGGTATATGCGAGACCAGAAGAAAAAGTGATGAGTATATAATACTAAAAAAATGGCACACTTTTATGCATAAAGGTGGCGAATACACTGGAGTGGGATTCTTGGTAAAACAAAGCCTCACACAGTGTATCGAAGAATTCAAGCCCATATCAGACAGAGTAGCATATCTCATCATCAGGATTAATAAAAGAACCACTTTGAAAGTGATCCAAGTGTACGCTCCGACCAAAAGCCACGACGATGAAGAAGTAGAAATATTTTATGATGAGATAAGAACAGCTATAGAAACAAAAAAAAGCAAATTTCGAAATACTATTAGGAGATTTTAATGCTAAATTGGGCAAAAAAGAGGAAGATTATGAACATTTAATTGGTAACTATGGCTACGGGAAAAGAAACTATAGAGGAGAAATGCTTCTCAATTTCATGAATGAACATAAGATGTACTCAATGAACTCCTTTTTCAATAAAAAACCAAGCAGAAAATGGACATGGATGAGTCACGATAAAAAGACAAAGAATGAAATAGATTATATCTTAACGAAGAAAAGAAACCTAGTAGCAGGCCCGTTCCTAGGGTAGTGAGCGCCTGCGTGCAGGATTTTTTGTGCGCCCCCATATTATGTTTTTAAGATACCTATATCATAACATGTTCTTGTGATATGATTGAAAATATGATATGAATGTAAAAAGAAAAATAAAACGAACCATGTTTGAAAAAAGGTTTTATTTTCAAAATTAAATAAAGAAAAAAGGTCATTCTAAAACAATATTATTATGTAAGTTAACAGTATGAAAGAAAACCCTCAATTCGCAAATTAGTAAGGCATTCTGGAATGTAACATGAAACAATAACGGAAAGGATACTCTTAATCTAGGAGATTAAATAATACATAATATGCCACGTCGTGCTTTCACAGATGCAAGCTCATTAATCATTTCATTGTGATCAATGGCTTCACAAATTTTATTTTCAATTGAAATGACTGCCAAATCTGATAGCCTTTCTTGGCACATTGACATTCTTAAATAATTTTTTATGAGCTTTAGCTTTGAAAAACTCCTTTCGCCAGATGCCACCGAAATTGGAAGGGTCAGGAATATTCTCAAGGCTATAAATAGATTTGGAAACAAGGATTGTAAATTTTTCTTTGTTATATAATTTAAAATATCTATAGGCGAATCCGAAATTTGCCAGAGTCTGTGATTGGGTTAAGAACTTTGTATGACAGAATTTCATTATGCAAATCAAGACCATCAATATCTTTGCATACGTTTCCTTCATGTTGAATTTGTAAAGCTAAATCCAAATCCATACATGATCTTTTAATCACATCAGAATCTAGATTTTGAAAATTACCCAAAAATCCAAATAAATCGTGGCACTTATCTATTCCCCAAAGCGTCTTTGTAGGGATTGAATTGTTGTGTCCAAAATTTGAAAATAAAAACTGATCTTAAATTTTTGTTTTGGATCGAATACTGTTTTATCTGTACCTTCATACGAAAATTAAAGCTTCGTCTTTCTTTGTCTTAATAATGGAAATGTTTGCTCTGCATCACTTTTTTCTGCTTCTGCTACAGCCTCATTCATGAAAATCTCGAAATGTTTGTCTGACCTCTTTTCAGTGAAATAAATAATAAGATTTTTTATTTCTGTATAGCATTCATTTAAAGTTGTATTTGGATTCTGGACCATTTTACTTACAATATTAATTTTTGTTAATTCATCATGCCAAATTATAATAGAAAAGATGAATTTGAATGTTTTAGTTTTGTCTAATAGTGACCTTGCTGAATGTTTCGTGTTCATATCTCTTGAATTATCTTCCACCAAATCGTGTAAACTTTTAAAAATTTCGAGGAATTGAAACCTAAGAGGGCGAATGGCTTTGACTCTGCTTTCTCATCGTGTTTCACTTACTGATTTTAAAGTTAAGTTTGGTACATTCCTTTTTAAAATGTGCCATCTGTAGGGTGAAGTAGAAAAAAAAATTGAACAACCTGAATAATTAAAAAAAAACCTACAGTCTCATATGAAATTTTAGCTGCATCATTGACACTTAAATTAAAAGTGTGAGCTGAACAAGGCAAAAACATTGCTCTGGGATTAATTTTTAGAATTTGAACCTGAAGGCCCACATGCTTGCCAAACATATTTGCCTCATTGTCGTAACCCTGACCTAGACCAGAACAATAAACGAAGCGAATTATGACCGTCAGCTGCTCAACGTGGCTAGTACTGGAGATTCATCCAAAATAATTGAGTAATCTTGCTGTTCTGAGCAACTCAGAATTTCTTTCTAAATATTTCTTTGATAATAAATGAATTAATTCATTTTGGAAGTAATTGCTCAGTAATGAGGCATATGTTGGCACAACCCTTTAGACCTTCGAATATTGCTCAGGTGTTCCATCATAATTGGATCGAATTTAGCAATCATTTCAACTAATTTCAAAAAATTGCCATTATTAGTCTCATAAAGATTCGTACTAAAAGCTAAATTTTGGCCAGCTAAATACTGCACAATACAAATCATTCTTTTAATGATTTCACGCCATCGCTGTTTTTCAATTTCATAATATTTTTGTTGCTTTTGATCAATAGTACATTCTTTACTCAAATGCAATTTTAACTCGTTCCATTTTTGAGCGCTTTTCATACGTTTCATGCTATTTTCATGACGAGAAATATTAACAGAAAGGTGCCTCCAGTTAGAGTTACTTATTTATTTTTATTTTATTTAAATAAATAAGTCAACTTATTTTACTTACTTCTAGCAGTTTATTTGCCGCCTTAAACTTTAATGACAATGATATTGCGAACAGAACATCCTAACCCATAAGAAAAATCTAACGACTGAATTAAAACGTTACGGTTTACTGCGCAAACGACAATTTCGTCAGAGGCCGGCGCATCGCGCATCCTTTCTTAAGACAACCACGCTGGCGGCATGCCGGCAACACAAAACATTAAAAGTGAGCATCGTGCGGCCTAAGACGGCGCCTCGTATGCTGACACTAATAAAATGTAGGGTGGTAATTTAATTAGTAATTTGGTAATAGGGAATAGTAAACGGATTGAAGTGATTGCTTTAGCACTTACCGGGAAATACTGAACACTGACTTTTTTGTTTTAGAAGTGAGAATATTTTTTTAATGGTAACCATTTGGCGCCCCTAAAATTTAGCGCCTGCGTGCGGGG